AAAACGTCATTTATTGTTATTTTTCAATGTAGGGCTACTGCCACCTACTGGCTACAGGAAATAAATGTTTTGACGTTTTTGTTCTCAAAGTTTTAGGCCTACATGGTGAAACACTGTTCCCGTGGCAACGTGCAGCTCTCCAAGAAAACGAAGCAAATTTTTAGCCAACCATGCACGACAACTCATGAAAGTTTGCACACAAATCAGGCCTTTCAAAATCACCAATAATATGTGAGAGTAAGTCAAAAATGATCTGCACTTAATGCTACAGCGCGCGTTTGTATAAATTCGATGCGATTTACCCTACATGTGGGAACTTGTGTGTCACGTGATCGCAATCAGGTGATATATTTGATTGTGACACTTGTTTGTTTCAGACTTTCAGTTGAGAAAAATGGCCGCTCCACTCGCAGAACGCACCGGTGATCCAATTTTTATGGTCAGAAGGCGTGTCAGGGGCTGAAATTTACCAGGGTTTCTGAACACAATCTGGAAAAGAAGTAAATATCATGGATTGAAAAGTTTAAAAGTGGTTGGACAAATGTGGACCACGCAGAAGGAGCAGGATGTCCATCAACCTATTGATGGACCACTATTAAAAACAATGAACAAGCCCAGTCCATATCACGTGATATCATGACACACACACAGGGCTGCTTCACTAAAAATTTGTAAGGGGTGTTGTTGAGCCACTCAGCCATGCATTATCTCAGTGTTTTTCAAACTTTTTTGAGCCAAGGCACACTTCTTTCATTGAAAAAAATCTCGCGGCACACCAGTAGCTGAAAATGTGACCCCCGGTTTATTTTAACAATTAACGTGTTATATTGTTACTATAACCGTTTTTAACATTGAAGAATGACGTTATAACAGCTTGAATTGGAATCAAATGAACACAAAGAAAACAGCATTTTATCATCTTTCATATTTATTGTTTCACCGTCGTCCTGCATTCATGCGTCACAAATTCGCTTGTCTCTCGTTGAAACACTAGGCAATTGGCGAGCTGTTGCTTCTCCCTAGCGGTATGGTAGGGTACTACATGATTACTTTCTGGCCGAAAGACCGCACAGGCATAAATTGGATGTTTTCCCGCGGCACACCTGACAATGTCTCGCGGCACACTGAACACTGTATTATCTGATCCACTTGTCCTCACAAGGGTCGCGGGGAGTCTATCCCAGCTGTCTTCAGGCAGTAGGCAGGGTCCACCCTGAACCGGTTGCCAGCCAATCACAGGCCTTGATTACTGATTATTTTTAAATTGCGAAATAACCTAATACAATGATGTTGAAAGGCCTGATGTGTTTGCAAAATTTTAATGGTCTAAACAATTTTCAAAGGGCTAGGTCAAATGTACCAAGTTGCTTCTTGGGCCCTTGCAATAAATAATTTCAAGCATAAGAAGAAAAATTCCAACAAAAACAATAGGGACCTTGCAGCTGTCATTGCTTGGGCCCTAATCATAAAAATCTTTCCATTACTTATTAGGGGACTGGGCAGTTCAATGAAATACATAATTAGTGGTCCTTCACAAAAACAATAAATTGTATCTAGTCATTTTCATTTTATTATTAAGCTAATATTTTGCCGTAAAGTCCGCTAGCTAGAGACTTGTGTTAGCCGTTGCACGATGATGTCAGGAAAAGTGGAGTCGACTCATTTGAACAAGTGCTGTCCTCCAGGACTGGTCTCGTATTACGACAGCTAAAAGAATATTTTAAATTATTTTTTAAAATCAGGGGTGTTGACAGTGAAATGCATATATCAGGGGTCTTATATTTTCATCAAATTTGGGACGGCACGATGGACAACTGGTTAACATATCGCCTCAGAGAACAGAGGTGCAGCGTTCGAATCAGGGCTCAAGCCTTCCTGTATGGAGTTTGCATCTTTTCCCCGTGCCTGTGTGGGTTGCCTCTAGATTCTCCGGTTTACTTCCTCATTCCACAAACATGCATGGTTGATTAATTGGACACTCTTACTATATAGTGTCCCTCGGTGTGATTGGTTGTTGTTTGTGTGTGTATGCCCTGCAATAGGCTGGCAACCAGTTCAGCGAGTTCCCCGCTCACTGCCTGAAGACAGCTAGCATAGTCTCCAGCACACCTGTGACCCTTTTGAGAATAAGCGTTTCAGATATTGGATGGATGAATGGAACATCAGAATTGGATGTGACGTCTATTGATAGAGACCTGCTGTGGTCCAATGTTCTCCAAGACCGGTCTGGTATTACTGTAGCTAAAGAAATATTTTCAATTATTTTTTTAAAAATCTTGTCTTGACAGGCAAATATGCATATTTCAGGGAACTTTTAGTTTTACAGGCCAAATCAGATTTGGATGGGACCTCTTTTGGTGTAGGGCTGGGGTGGTATAGTGTCCTTTAGGACTATTCTGGTATTATGATCGCGAAAGGATTTTATTCTATTATTATTTTTTTTAATCAGGCTTGATTACAGTGAAAGATGAATATTTCTTTAACTTTAACTTTGACATGCAACATCAAAATTGACTGGGATGTTTTTTGGTGAAAAGTTGGAGCGGGTTTATGCTGCCTAAAGGAATATTTTTAATGATTTAAAAAAAAAATCAGGGTTCATTACAGTGAAAAATGCATATTTCAGTCAACTTTTATTTTGCCATGTAACACTGGAATAGATGGGATCTGTACTGATGTAGACCTGGGGTCGTCAAGTGTCCTCCAAGACTGATCTGGTATTATGCTATCAAAAGGTATATTTCTTTAAATCAGGGTTGTAGACAGTGAAATATACAATTTTCAGGGGATTTTTATTTTGACATGCAATATCAAAATAGATGGGATGCCTATTGATAGAGACCTGGGGTGGTCCAGTGTTCTCCAGGACTGGTCTAGTGTCACAATAGCTAAAGGAATATTTTTAATCATTAAAAAAAAAGGGTGGCCCGGTGGTCCAGTGGTTAGCGCGTCAACCTCACAGTGCAGAGGTAGCCAGGTTCAGTCCCAGCTCCGGCCTCCCTGTGTGGAGTTTGCATGTCCTCCCCGGGCCTGCGTGTGTTTTCTCCTGGTACTCCGGTTTCCTCCCACATTCGAAAAACATGTATGGCAGGCTGATTGAACACGATAAATTGTCACTAGATGTGAGTGTGAGTGCAGATGGCTGTTCGTCTCTGTGTGCCCTGCGATTGGTTGGCAACCGGTTCAGGGTGTCCCCCGCCTTCTGCCTGAAGACAGCTGGGATAGGCTCCAGCAACCCCTGCGACCCTTGTGAGGATAAAGCGGATAGGAAAATGAATGAATGAATGAATGAATTTAAAAAAAAATCTGGATTGAAGACAGTGAAATATACATATTGCAGTGGACATTTACTGCGGCATGCAACATCAGAATTGTATGGGACCTCTTTTGGTGTCGAGCTGAGGTGGTTTGGTGTCCTCTAGGACTGGTCTGTTGTTACGATACCAATTGATGTATTTGAATATATTGTTTTAAATAAGGTATACTTGCAGTCAGAAATGCATTTTTTCAAATAAACAATTTTTGATGCATCTGAAGATTTACATGAACCATTCTATATTCAGAATCAGAATCAGAATTATCTTTATTGGCCAAGTATGTAGAACACACAAGGAATTTGTCTCCGGTAGAACACGCTGCACTCAGAAGTGGGCTGTTTGCGTAATAACAGAGAGGTCATTTGCTGAAGCACTGACATCCAGTTAAGCCTTGTGGGATGACTTTCTTCTGAAGCTGGCAATCGCCGGTCATCGGCGTCTTATTAACGTAATGCCGAGAGCAGGGGTCACCAACATGGTGCCTGCGGGCACCAGGGAGCCTTCAAGGACTACATGAGTAGCCCGGAGGCCTATTCCAAAAATAGGTCACCAGTGATTAGTCACTGTGACTCTCCAGGAATATTGTAGAAGGAATCATTTCAAGGCAGCCCGGTGGACCAGTGTATAACGTGTTGGCCTCACAGTGCAGAGGTGCAGGGTCTGATTCCGGCTCCGGCCTTCCTGTATGGAGCTTGCGTGTTCTCCTCGTGCCTGCGTGGGTTTTCTCTGGGTACTCTGGTTTCCTCCCTCATTTCAGAAACATGCGTGGCAGGTTAATGGAACACTCTAAACTGTCCCTCGGTGTGAGTGTGAGCGCGGATGGTTGCTTGTCTCTGCGTGCCCTGCGATTCGCTGACAGCCGGTTCAGGGTGTCCCCCGCCTACTGCCCGAAGACAGCTGGGATAGGCTCCAGCACGCCCTGCAACCCTTGTGAGGATAAAAAGCACGAGAAAAATGAATGGATGGATGGATCATTTCAAAGTGTGAACATTAGCAGATATTTTAAATAAAATGTGGCCAATTGATATTAAACTGTTTCATAAGTATTGTGAGAAAACTTTAATATGATCAGTATCTTCTCAGAAATTAATATAATTGATTATAACATATGAGGGTAGTTTGAGCAAATTTATTTCAAATGTGCATACTATCAAAGTGGAAGCCCTTCGCATGAATCAGTAGCCAAGAAGGAGCTCTTAGTTTCAAAAAGTTTGGTGACCTCTGGCCTGGATTTTAAAAAATTAGGGGCGGCTGGATTAATTTTGTCTCTTTAAGTGAAGGCTGTCTTGCCCGCAGTGTCCTTTCCTGCCTGAAAAGAAGCAACTTTTCATCTCTATTAGACCCGATGACAGCATCCAAAAAAGGGGTAAGGAGAGATGATATAAAGGTTAGGAATTTTGACTTTTCCGAAGAGGCCCCGAGAGTTCGGGGCCTCTTCGGAAAAGTCAATTTGAAATGCGCGTATAAATGAAATGTATTATTATTATTATTATTATTATTATTATTAAAACTCCTAACCTTTGTGGTCCACGAGTTCACTTGCACGAGTAGTGTAGTGTCATTCTCCCGTTCGAAGAATGACGAACCACGTGATTTTGACCTAGCCAATCAGCGATGATACATTGCGTCATCCAGGCAGCATTGCAACATTTGACCAATCAGCGGTGTTTTAAATACGTGCCGCACTTCCTCGTTTGTTCAAAGCCAAGAAGCCGACATTCAGCTGGAAATGTCATCCAGATTTACGCTTCTAAATTTTAAAACAGTCATGGTAAGACAACAACTGTCACATATTTTATGTCATAATAGTTACATTAATTGAATATGTTCGTGTTGTTGGAGTTGTTTTAGGTGTTTATTTGTCTTTGTCAAAGCCAGTTCACAACCTACATTGTACATGCAGTACCTATCTGTAGCAGTCTGCGGTGGAAAGTTTCCAATTTACTTACTTCCGTGAGCCCGTTCATAACCCGAAATGTTTATAAATTAATCTGTTTGAGCCCCCCAAAATGTTATATTTACCTGTTTTAAATTAGCATTAACGTGTATAATGTGTTTAATAAATATAGTGTAATATGAAAATAAATGAAACACATAACTACGCAGAAATAAAACTCTTAAATGAACAATTTATCACGACCTTTGTGAGGATGAAGCCTTTCAGATAACGTATGAATGTTCCTTAAATGTAAGCATTATGAAAAGGGAAGGAGGACTAAAACTCCAGCAATGATACAGAGCCTTCTTCCATAAGTCTGTTTGTTTTGGGGCTGCGAATCCAGAGAAACCTGTCTTTTTCTGTTCCAAAAAATTAATAAAGTGCGATGACATATTAGGTGAATGTATTGTACGCAGGTGAAACTTCCAGCTCGTGACAACATGCGTGAATGGGTATTTTGCCATGATTACACAGACATAAACCATCCATGAACAAATTAAAGAGATGCTACAATTCAAAATGACACACCCAGCATTGATCGTATATTCCGATCAAGGATATCTCCACTTCTTTCTCTTTTCTAAATTGCTTCAGTTTGGCAGTAAACCATGGCTTGTTATTGTTGAAGGAGCGCAAGGACTTTGTTGGTCCACCCATGTCCTCACAGAAACTGATATATGATGTGACAGTGTGTGTATTCATCAAGGCTGCCAGTTGAAGTTTCAAAGGCGCCCTAAGGCCAAACAAAAAAGATAGTGTGTTTCCGGTAACATGAAATTTCAGCATAGGGTCGGTAGGTCGGACAGTTTTTCTTTTTTTTTAAATCCCCCCCATCAAAAATTTAAACAAAATAACCATAAAACATAAAACAAGAAGACATTGAACCCGCCGCTCCACGGCCGGCGCCGGTGCTGCCGCCACCGATTTAGTTTTCTCCCCGCTCCGGACTCGGGGGGCCGGTGCGTGCCGCCGCCTCCGCCGCCGTCCTCCTCCGCCCTCGGTTTTTACTCGGCCCGTGGTGTTCATCGAATAGTTCGCTGAATTTTTTCGATACATCAATGGATGCTATTTTCTTAATATTACGGTGCGAGCACGCGACTGTAACACAGAAAACGCGGTTTAAACTGTCGTCGGAGATCGCGGCCGCCGCCATGTTTCAATGTTGTTGACAGACAACAGGGCAAATGACGCTCGCGCTCAACGTGAATATCGCGAGAGTTTGCACCGATGTAAACCCTCTACACAAAAATGTAGAGGGTTGTTTGAAAAAAAATGCCGACCGTAAAGTTTTTTTTCGACGTAGAAATTCTCGGTCGGTCGGGTTACCGGAAACACACTACTTTTTTTTTTCTACGCCTAATCAGTGCAGTCCAAGTATTCTTGTTGTGCCAGCTTGGTCCACCTCTTCAGTCTTGACAACTGGTTTTACACATTGGAGTCTGTGCCTGTATGTAGGGATTCACTGTATTAAACTGATCAGATTTATGCTGCTACAGTAAATCTTGCATGAAGCCGCTATTTAAGTTTACTCATCATAATATTAATTATAAGCTTAATAATAACTAATAAACTCTTTCTGTCACTCCTTTTCAGGCTAGGTCATAAGTTTTGATTGGAAAATGTTTTTATATATATATAATATATAACAATTATTCATTCATTCATTTTCCGAACCGCTTCATCCTCACTAGGGTCGCTGGGGGTGCTGGAGCCTATCCCATCGTCTTCGGGCAGTAGGGACACCCTGAACCGGTTGCCAGCCAATCACAGAAACGGACAACCATTCGTGCTCACACTCACACCTAGGGACAATTGGAGTGTTCAGTCAGTCTGTCATACGTTTTGGAATGTGGGAGGGAACCGGAGGACCCAGAGAAAACCCACGCAAGCACGGGGAGAGCATGCAAATTCCACACATGAAGGCTGGAGCTGGAATTGAACCCGGTACCTCTGCACTGTGAAGTCAAAGTGCTAACCCAGGGTTCAGCAACCCAAAATGTTGAAAGAGCCATATAGGACAAAAAAACAAATATGTCTGGAGCCGCAAAAAAAAAAAAAGCCTTCTATATAACTTACAATGAAGGTAACACATGCTGTATGTATGTAGGAGACTGGACTGTCTCAGAATTGTTTGTTATTCATTCCTTTGTTGTGTGTTCACAAATGCCCCCAGAGAATTTATTTTGTAATTTCCTCGCTTGATTTTTTGTTTTGGTGCATTATTTTCGCTTTTCTTAGTGTCAGTGAAGTGATCATTCATTTCCGTTTTTCGGAGGCTGTCTTTGAACGCCTCTCGAGTCGAACGAGAAGAGAGAAGGCACGGAGTCGGACGCAGATGTGTCTGTGTTTGTCGAGACTGTTAAAAGCATAAATAAAGTGTACGTTTTAAAAAGCCAACACCACAGCTCTCCTTTTTCGGAGCTGCAACATGTATCTATATCTATTTGAGCTATATTAGCCGACTATCAAAATCTTTTTCCATTTTCAAACATTTTTTATAAAGCTCCAGGGAGCCACTAGATGTTGCTAAAGAGCCGCATGCGGCTCTGGAGCTGCATGTTGCCGACCCCCGTGCTGACCACTCGACTACCAGGCTGCGCTATAACATAATTAATGTTATAATAATATAGTAATTTTTGTCCTTTTATTAATTTTCATCCATCTGTTGTCTTCCACAGTAACAAGCAATAATGCCACAGCCCAGGATTTTGCTGGTGGTGACAGGAGATGATTTTGGTTACTGTCCCAAGAGGAATCAAGGGATTGTCGACTGCTTCAAGGCTGGAGGCATTTCCTCTGTGTCACTGCTGGTGAATGCATCTGCTGCCAAAGATGCCGCAGATCTGGCTAAAAGGTAATGTGGCAGCTGCTGTCGCAGATTGGGTTTTGCTTTGTCGCTAGAGTATTTTTCTCCATCACTTAAAACTATTCACTGCAATTAATAATGTTTATCATGAGACCTGATACAAATCATATGAAATTGTTTGATCAAGTTTACTTCTTATCGAGGTTTAACGCTTGAAGTCAGCTAATAGCACATCATGTGTTTTTGGCATCTTTCAATCGGCCAATTTACAGAGAACCTATGAGACCTGCTATCTTTGGACTATAATGTTATGTAGAGCACCAAAAAGGCAACCCAATCTTACATGACTGCATGGGTTTGAGAGTCCAAAATTAAGATGGGAGATGAGAATCGAGTTTTGCCTTGCCAGCTTTGGCTGATCTGTTTGCCGGAAGACCGAAAAGATTCATACCAGTGGTACCTCGGGCCTGGTGGTGAGAAACGAGGAGAGTGGCACAAAGGAGACTCTGTCTTTGTTGACCAAACGTCCATCCATCCAACCATTTTCTCCCGCTTATCCGGGGTCTGGTCAAGGGGGCAACAGCTTTAGCAGGGAAGCCCAGACTTCCCTCTCCCCTGCTACTTCTTCCAGCTCTTCCCCAGGGATCCTGTGGCGTTCCCAGGCTCGATGGGAGACATAGTCTCTCCAGTGTGCCCTGGATCGTCCCCGGGGCCTCTTGCCAGTGGGACATGCCCAGAACACCTCACTAGGGAGGCATCCAGGAGCCACCTCATCTGGCTCCTCTCGACTTGGAGGAGAAGCAGCTCGACTCTGAGCCCCTCTTGGATGACTGAGCTTCTCATCTTATCTCTAAAGGAGAGTTCAGACACCCTGTGGAGGAAACTCATTCAGGCCACTTGTACCCGGAATCTCGTTCTTTCTGTCACGACCTATAGCTTGTGACCATCGATAAGATCAACCTGGAAATCTTCACCATGACAGACCGATACAAAGTCCGCAAAACACTGCCCTCACACCCATGTCCTCACTGAACTCTTCCCACGCCCGACTTTTTGCCTCGTCGACCGCTGAAGTTATGTTTCGCTTGACCAGCTGGTGGTACCCATCAGCTGCCTCTGGAGTCCCACAGGCTATAAAGACCTAATAGGACTCCTTCTTCAGCTTGACCAAATCCCTAACTGCTGGTGTCCACCAGCGAGTTCGGGGTTTGCCGCCACGACAGGCACCACCTTGTGGCCACAACTCTGATTGGCTGCCTCAACAATAGAGGCGTGGAACACGGTCCACTCGGACTCAGTGTCCCCCGCCTCTTCCAGGACGTGGGAAAAGCTCTGCCAGAGGTAGGAGTTAAACTCCTTCTGACGAGATTCTGCCAGATGCTCCCAACAAACCCTCACAATATGTTTGGGTCTGCCAGGTCAGACCGGCATCTTCCCCCACCATCGGAGCAAATTCACCACCAGGTGGTGATCAGTTGACAGCTCCACCATTCTCTTCACCCGAGTAGCCAAAACATGGGCCGCAAAGCTGATTTGACTTGAAGTCCACATATGGACACCCTTATGTTTGAAGATGGTGTTTGTTATGGATAATCTGTGGTGAGCTCCGAAGTCCAAGAACAAGACACCACTCGAGTTCTGATCGGGGGGGCAGTTCCTCCCAATCACGCCCTTCCATGTCTCACTATCTTTGCCCACGTGAAGTCCCCCAGCAGAACGAGGGAGTCCACAGCGGGAGTGCTCTCCAGCACAACCTCCAAGGACTCCAAATAGGGTGGGGACTTTGAGCTGCTGTTTGGTGCATAGGCACAAACAACATTCAGCATCGATGTAGGCCCGGCCACCAGGCGCTCGCTAGCGAGCCCCACCTCCAGGCCTGGCTCCAGAGTGGGGCGCCGGTGAATGAAACAAGTGAAACAAAGGTGCATATATTTTCTTCATCATGAAGGGTCTTTTAAACCGTGCTTTGTCTGGTCCCTCACCTTGAACCTGCCATGGGTGACCCTGTCAGGGGCATAAAGCCCCAACTTAGCTCCTAGGATCTTTGGGACACACAAACCCCTCCACAATAATGTGACGGATCATAGAGGGGTGACAAAATGTTACGTCAAATAATCCACAGACATCAACTGTGTGCTGTCAAGAATTGTATTCATCATCAAATTTGCTTGCTACAACACACACTAAAACCCCTATCCCACTGAGGGGCCAACAATTGCGACTGTTGGCGGACGTAGAAAAAGTTCGTCACAACTTCGCAAATGTTTGCAAAATGTTCGGCTAACATTTGAAGATGTTCGTCAACTTTTTTTTTTTTTTTTTTTTTTTTTTTGTCTGTCGCAAGGAAATTTTGAACATGACAAGAAAAGTATAGTGAGCCTGCTGGTAACCGTAGAATGAGGATTGTACTTGGAGCCGGCGGCATCTCTCCTCCGGTCCCAAGCGTCCTCCTCTCCGCTGCATGGCGGAGCTCTGACTGGGCACGGAACTGCTCCACTCCGCGTTCCCGATTTCTATCTATCTATCTATCTATCTATCTATCTATATATCGGTATCTATATATATAGATATATATATATCTATATATATATATATCTATATATATATATATATATATACTCTATCTCTCTCTCTCTCTCTCTCTCTCTCTCTCTCTCTCTCTCTCTCTCTC